AGGTTTCACAATTTTTTTTAAAAAAATTATGGACTTTAGTGGCGGTTATAACCGCCACTAGAGCCCAGAAAACGACCACAAATCTTGCAATCGGTCGCTTTTGCTCATATTTGTCGCAGTTATAACCGACGCAATTCTGTATATTTGCAGCGGCTATAACCACTGCGAAAATATGCATTCCGTAAAAACCTTCCCCGTCGATCGTCGAACCGCTGCGGAATGCCGTTGCAGTGCATTGCAAACACAGCGGTTATGTAGCGATTCTAGAACCGCTGTAAAGAAAATAGTGGCGGGTTTAACCGCTGGGAAAAGTTAAAAATTGTGCTGCGAAAACCCAATTTTTTGGTAGTGTGAAGAATAAGATAATAAGATCTGTATCATAAACCACAATCCTCAATCATAGCACATTTGCAAAACTAAATTCAGAATGTCAATAGCGTCACCCATTCAACATGACACAATAAGGCTTCATTTGAGGCAGCTTTCTTTGTGCATTCTAAAGCAATTTCTTATAGTACAAAAATTTTTGAAACTTGAAATTTTTATACTAAAAAATTATTTTAGAAAGCAACTGGAAAAAAAGCAACCCAAACGAAGCATAACATAGCCATTCACACGCTTCCTTGATTGCCCATAGTCTGTCTGATAGGAAATGGATGCACTTTTCACAAAAATTAGTGGATGAAACACGAGAATTTACGAAGAAGATCTAAAATGCCCTAAAATAATTTTTATTGAAAGAACTATAAAAAGAAACGCAATATAAAAGTGGAGAGGAAGATCTGGCTCTCCCAAATCCCTAGCCGCCTGCTAGAGTCTAAATAACCTAAGAATAAATTAAATTCAGCAAACTCCCAAAATATAAATCTAAAGTCATCCTATTGTTAGACTTAAATAGGCTCCCATAATTCCCTCCTAAGTGAGCCCTCTTTTCCTACTTAAATTCATGTCAATTTTGAATTATTACTCAAAATAATTCCCTTCAAATTATAATTAAAACTTTCCTAAATAATCTCTCTTAATTCCTCCTCTTCCCTAAATAATTTCCTCTTAGATTTTGAAATTCAAATTATATTTGTTGCCCTAAATAATTCCTTCCCAATTTTAATTAAAATATTCATAAACAATTCTCCTTTGATTAAGAATCTTCATAAACAACTCTCTTGATTAGGAACTTCTTAATTTTGTATCAATCAAATATGTCGGTCCATTAATACTCCCCTCCCAAAGTGTCACCTTATCCTTAAGATGGAATGAAGAAAATTGCCACTGAAGCACTTGACTAATAGCACTAGGAATGTCAATATTTGACACAACTTGAAAACTCGACTCGAACTTGACCCAAACATTTTTTGTTAGGGTTAACTTGTTACACAAACGGGTTAGGTTCGGGTTCCAGGATTCAACCCTTTTAAAAAATTGGGTTGGGATCAAGTAAATTCGCTAACCCGAAGCTATCCCGAACTGACCCATAAATTGAGTCTCGTCAACTCAGACTGTCAGCCATAAGCGTTAAGTCTCGAGTCACGTCAGCTCGTCCGCCATCCGCATCACGGTGTTAGCCCGTCATCACGTCTCATCAGCCCATCCACATGCCATTCACCATCTACATTCCCTCAGCCGGAGGTTGTTGCAACTTGCCTAGCCGGAGGATCAATCCTCGATAGCACCGTCCGCCGCAGCCTCAACCGGACTAACGACATAGCCTCTACCGCAGCCTTCGCCGTCTCCACCATTCACCTTTTCCGCCATAGTCGCAACCTTTGAACGTCAAAAATAACCGTTTCCTCCATCCCGCATTGGCTAGACTTTGGGTCGTGTCGGGTCAACCCGTGTGAGACCTCGTTCCCTTACTGTTCCTCTATGGCTTGGATTTTCCTCCCAGAATCGTCCGGGACGATAGTGAGATCGGCCAGGCCGATCTGCACTGTTCAAAATATCGTCCTGAAACTAGTTCTGGGAACCGTCCAGGACGATCGATTTTGGTCTGATCGTCCCGGGACAATTTGGCGATCGGCCGGGCCGATCAGCCTAATGATATAAAAAAATCAGCTCGTTTTGAGGAGAGAGAAAATCATTTTATAAAATCAGATATTTTGTAGAGAGAGAAAGAGAGGAAAAGAAAGGGAAAGGTTTTTGTCTTTGCTGATTTTGATTCTTTTGTACTCAGGATAGATTTCAGTACTAGTGATTGTAGTGTAGTTCCTGAGTATTGTACATGACCTTTTGAGATGAATCGACTTGTATATTGATATTTTACATTTCATAGATGTTTGATAGACTGTTTAATTGAAGGTTTTAGATAACTCTGGTAAATTGTTTTGAGAAATTGATTGACATTCTTTCCAAGTTAGATCTTGGGGCGTGACAACCCGGACTCGAGGAAGGTCACATTCAGTTCAGGTCAAATTAATATTACAGAGTCATTTTTGGGAAAGACCCAAATTTGACCCAAATCCAATTTTGACAACTCTAAATAGCACTAGACTGAAAAAGTAGACTAACACCGGGTTGAATGATCCCTGCATCGAGCATCTCCTTGACTAATTTCTTAATATCTTCATTCGTAATTTGGGTATGACAACTCAGACAAATACTGATAAGTGAGACTCCTTCCTTCAAGATGTTAGCTTGCTCGCATTCCCAAGGAGGAGGCAACCACTAAACTGGCTGGAATACCCCTATATACTGTTATAGGGCTGAATCATGGATGAAGGTATCTTCTATCTTCTCCATATTTTTTTCTCCTTCCAAACTTTACAACTCCACCAAAAATTCTAGTCCTTGACCCTTTCCCCTCCTAAAAAATTGCTCAAAATGTAGCATCTCCTATTCTTTCCCTAATATTTTCACCTCCTAATTTTTCCCTCTACTTATCAGATCAGGTTTTTCCCCACTTCCTTGACTAACAGTGGCTTCCCTCGACTTCAACAACACCATTTAGGTTTGGAAATCGAACACCTTCCTAAGCATCTCCTCAATGATGGCAAACTTCCCATTGATCTTCTCATAGATGGCTAAAAATTACTTTTCAAAATCTGAGATATTTACGAATCATATTTCAATTGTTTGATCTACGATTCCAACACTTATGACTTTCTTCTCGCCATAGGTACCCGATCTAGGTTTTGATACCAATTTGATAGGAAATGGATGCACCTTTCACATAAATCAATGGATAAAATATAAAAAATTAAAAAGAAGAACGTTACAAAATAATTTTTCTTGAAAGAACTATAAATAGAAATGCAAGATATAATTGGATCCTCAATTGGAGAGGAGGATCTGACTCTCCCAATGTAATAGCCCAAACTCTTAACTATTGAGATATTATTCGCATTGACGTAAGTGTCTCACGGTTTTGTCTTGTTGGTGCAACTTCACAGTTGGTCACCTATCCAAGTAGCAATTTTTTAATAAAATTTCAACCGTTACACCAAAAGACACCTCAATGTTAATTTGAGAGTTTAGTTTTTTTACTTAAGGGGTTTCACACCCAAATTCCTAGTCGCCGGCTAGAGGCCAAGTAACTTAAGAATAAACTAAATTTAATTAACACACTCCAAAACATAACCAAATTACCCCATAGTTAGCCTTGAATAAGATCCCATAATTCCCTCCCAAATTAATCCCCTTTCCCTAACTAAATCCCTCTCAGATTTGAATTCAAATTAATATTATTTTTCTAATTGATTTCCTCTCAATTATAGTTAAAATTTTTCTAAACAATCCTCCATTAATTCCTTGTACTTTTTTTTTAAATGACCCCTCTTAGATTTTGAATTCAAATTAGATCTATTGGCTTAAATAATTTCCTCCCAATTGTAACTAAAAGATTTTATAAACAAGTCCTCTTTGATTAGCAACCTTTCTAAATAGTTCTTTTTTGATTATGTAACTTCCTAATTCCCTCCCAATCAAATTGACCGGTCCATCACTGCCCTGGAAAAAGTAGGAAAGGTAAAGAAGCAACAGGTAGAAAGATGTCATATATTCATCACATTCTAAGAAAAAAAACCACAGAAAATCTGAGTCATTGCAGCAAAACTTTCATATATCCTGGTAAATCTTTCATTTCATAATATTTGAATTAATGGATCTCTTAATACATTTAAGTGTAATTTAGTAGAAATAAAAAAATTATTATGTTTAAAGATGGGCATAAAAAATTAAGACCCCCAACCACTATGTCAACTTTATTCTTTACATAATTTAAGTGGCATCTATTTTGATTTCATAAAATTAGTTGTCTTTTTTAATAACCCCCATTTATTATTGTGTTGAAGGATCTTTTATCAATAGAAACTTATTAATTACATCGGGGTATTTTAATGGAGTTGGCATCAAAACATTCCTCATAATTCTTAATTTTTTCATTGAGATTAGTGTTTCATCATAACTCGAATTTCATCATGACATCAAAATGCAGCTTTTTTTTCCCTATGCAATAAGATTTTATAGTATATGAATGTGTGTGTTTTTTATTTATTTATTTTTCATTTTATGGTAATATTTTGTTAAGCTCTTTCTTTTCTTAAGGTATTTGCTCTATGTTTTTCTATTAGTAAAAAAAGTATTAGCTTTCCATATAATCATGCATGCATATCCAATGAGTCAAACCATCTACAAATTTTATTTTATTTCTTCGTATAATACTTCCAAACACACGTAAGAAAACCTATTCAAATTCAGGAGAAATTATTCTGTGCAGAGGCCGGGGACGTAGTACGTCATCTAGAGACCAACCAAAATGTCACGTCAGTGCTACCGAGCCATCGTACCGAGCGGTACCGAGCAGCGGTACCAAGCGAAGTGGTGACGTGGCGTATTCTGATTGATCCCTAGACTGCATTTGACATCCGCACAAGATAATTAATCCAAATTCAGAGGCCACTTCTCTTACTTATTAAAGCAACACTAAATATGCTAATATAGCTGGTCAGTGACACATTTCCCTAATTTTATCCCTTCCATATTCTTGAAGCAAAAACCCTAGAAAATCAAGTGAAATCAGTCACTGGAGTAGCCACCACAATAATAGGCACCTTCTTGTGACTCACCATTCTGAAGCTCTCAGTCATGTCCATCTCTTCCCTATTCACTCCGCTCGGCAACTCCCAATCAAATCCATATAAAACATTAGCAAGAGCGAGCTCAACCCCAGCCACACCAAATGCCATTCCAGGACAAGTCCTTCGCCCTGCACCAAATGGTATGAGCTCCAAATGATGCCCTTTGAAGTCAACACCGCCACACTTATCGAATCGCTCAGGCTGAAATGTCTCGGCGTCCTCACCCCAAGAGTTTGGATCCCTTGCGAGAGCCCAAGCATTCACAAAGATCCTTGTTTTGGCCGGAATATCATAACCATTGATCTTCGTGTCTTTGGTGCTTTCACGTGGTAGAAGTAATGGACCAGAAGGGTGAAGGCGGAGGGTCTCTTTAAATACATTGTGTAGATAGGGTAGGTGTTGAAGGTCTTCCTCTTCGACCTTACCTTTACCTTTGACTACTCGACGAACCTCTTCTTGTGCTTTGCGCATAGATTTAGGGTTCTTGATCAGCTCCGCCATAGCCCACTCCATGATTATTGCAGGTGAATCAGTACCCGCCAGAAACATGTCCTGCAATTTCCATATATATTTTTTGATAGAATTTATATCCTAAAACTTTATAAAAAATAATGAATAAATTCATAAGAATTGAATGTTAAATGTGCACTCTCTCTTAGAATAGTAATTTTTTAGTTAAATTTTTTTAAATTTTTATTAAAAAGATGCTTTAAGAAACAGTAATGAACTTTAAATAATGAGAAGAAATGATACTAACCATTACAACAGCTTTGATCACATTTCTAGTGAGCAGAAGCCCTAAAGAATCATCCATTTCCTCTTGGCTTTTAAGTAGTATATCAAGGAAGCAAACATCTTCATTAATGGTATCTTCTCCCGTACTACTCTTCTTCTCCTCTTGGCATCTTCTTCTTTTCATCCTTTCCTCTATCTCCCGTTCAAAGACCCGATCCATGGTATGAAATATCTTCTCCAGCCTCCCTCGCCAGCCCGTCAGCCCATCTAACCAAGCCAAGGAAGGGAAAAAATCACCCACACATAACTCCGTAGTGAAGGCGACTGCTTCCATTATCATTTCATGGTGCTGAGTCCTTCCACAGTCGCCGGCGACTGCCGATATCCGCTTTCCAAAGACCAGCCTGTATATCAAATTGTTGAAAAGGCAGAGCAGCATCGTGGTCAAGTTGAAGGCTTCGCCGTTGGCCGACGCCGACGATATGGTTTTAAGCAGAGCTCCCACCTCTTCTTCACGAATGGCTTTGAAGGCCTGTTGGTCCGTCGAAGATGAAAACAAAATTAGGAAATTGAACTCTATGAAATTTAAAATTTAATTTTTTTAAATCCAACGAATTTAAAATTTATCATAAAAAAAAAGTAATGACCTGCACTCTCGCAGCGCTGAAGACCTCTGCGTTGGTAAACCTTCGGATGCGGCGCCAGTGATCGTTGTAAGGTGTGAAGGCGATGTCGAGGCCGCCGTAAGAGAACCGGTCCGTGCTGGCGAAGAAAGGGCGGCCGCAGAAGACAATATCCTGCGTCTTCAGGATCTCGGCGGCTGTCTCCGGCGAGGACGCGATGATAGTGGAGACTTGGCCGAGCTTGACGTGGATGAGGGGACCATACTTATAAGATAGTTTGCGCAGAGTGAATTGGGGGAGTTCGCCGATGAACTCGTGTAGGTGGCCGATGAAGGGGAGTGACGGTGGGCCCGGAGGGAGTCTCCGGCGGCGAGAATTCAACTTGCGTTTTCGACGAAGAGTGGCGCTTAGTGTGTGGAGGAGGAATAGAATGAAGGGGATCAATAGCAGCGCCATGTGAGCCTCCATCTTTATATGTATTTTAGAACAAACAACTGTTTTCAAGCTTTGAGATAGCTATTGTTGCCGAAAATTTACATGACAGTTTCAATAAAGAAAAAAAAAGGTTTTTTCAACTTAAATTGTATTTATCTTAAAATGAATTTTAAAAATTTTAATTTATTAATTACTCATACATCCTTAAAAAATTATCTTGATCGGTCGAGTACGAATCTCAAGGAAAAATCAAGTCGAAAACTTTCGAAATTAAAACTGGGACCATCCAAACTTATATTGTATTTTAGCAAATTTATTGTCAAACTGAACATCTCGGAAATATGAACACCCAGACACCAAATTTGATTCAATCCGAGCCCAAATAAGATCAAATCAAGGACCCGAAGTGCTGTTGGAAGGTTCAAACCATAATTTGGATTACCAAATGATCTTCAAACTAGACATGCTTATAGTCAAATCGAGCAGCTCGACGAGACAAATCGAATGAGCCCAAGATCGAGGAATTCCGACATAATTAAGACCTTGAAATGTCTAATGAATGGTCAACGATCAAGGAATTCAACATTGGCCGTCCATCCAAATCACTCCCCATTTACCCTTGATATTCCTCCTTTTTATGGGCCATGCAACTCTAAGAAATTTATAAATAGATATCTCCTTCCTTTTAAAAAGGGGCCCCAAGTCAAATGAAACAAACTAGAGAGAGATTGGAGATCGCTCTTGGCTCCTTGCTCCTCCTCGACCACCTCCCAGAGTTCGGATGGACCATCGTCTGACGCCTAGGTTTCATCGGACTACCACTTGAGGCCCGACCTTCAACCAGATAATCACTTGAGGTCTGGAGTTTTGGAGGACCACCACCTAACACCGGAGTTCCGACTGACCACCACTTGAGGCCCGAAGTGTCACCGGACCACCCCCCGATGTCGTAGTTCCTTCGCACCACCACTTGAGGCCTCGAGTTCCACCGGACCACCACCTGATGCCCGGAGTTCCACCGGACCACCACCTGATGCCCGGAGTTCCGCCGGACCACCACCTGACGTTCATAATTCCACCAAGCCACCAACTGACTCCCAGAGTTCCGCTAGACCACCACTTAATGCCAGAGTTCCATCGGACCACAACTTGACGTCGGAGTTCCACCAGACCACCACTTGGCTTTAAGAGTTTCACCGGACCACCACCTGAAGCTTGGAGTCACCGGACCACCACTTGATGCCCGGACAATAATCTTTTTAACCCCTATCTTCTACCGACTACGATACTTCCGACCTCCGTCACCAACTATGGTTCTTCTGACATCTACTGCCAGAGAATGGTCTTTTTGATCCATGTTCCTTGCTGACTACGGTCCTTCTAACCTCCGTCGTCAACTATAGTCCTTCTAATCTCCACCGCCATATAATAGCCTTTATGATCCTCTTCTCTTGTCGACTATGATCCTTCTAACCTCATCGCTTACTTCAATCCTTCTGACCTCCATTGTTAGACAACAATCATTCTAACCCTTGTCTCCTAACGACTATGGTCATTCCGACCTCCATAGCCTACTACAGTCCTTCCAAACTCCATCGCCAGACAACAGTCTTTCTAGCCCTTATCTCTTGCCGACTACGGTCCTTCTGACCCCGTCGCCTACTACGGTCCTTTCGACCTCCACAGTTAGACAATATTCTTTCTAACCCCTATATCCTATCGACTACTATTCTTCTAACCTCCGTTGCATGCCGACTATGTTCCTGCCGATTAAACAAACATATCAATACTAACTCTTCCAATTTCTACCATGTAATGCATTCTATATGATGTATATCTGTTATATCAAGCTAAGCCATTCCCTCCAATGAAGTGCCTCATTTGTAATCGACTGTAAATAATAGTAGATTCATTCAAACTAGACCAGGCCCCGTGATTTTCCCCCTTTCAGAGGTTTCTATGTAAAATCTCTGGTGTCTCTTATAAACGCTACACCCTCTCTGTTATCTGATTGCGCGCTGAATTTTTGTACAATGTTAAGACGTTAAACTTTATATTTCTCTACCGCTGTGAATATTCCAGGATGCAACGTACAATTATGATATAATTTTAATTATAATATTCAAATGTAATTTATTTTCATATAAAATCAGAATTACACGAAAATGAATGAAAGGATAAAAGTTATTAATTATGCTTCTATTTTAATAATAAATAAATAGTAATAATGTAAAAAAAAAGCCTTATTATTTCCCTAAATCTACCTATGCTATATTTATTTTCTTATATTAATTTATATAACATTAAAATTATAAAAATAAAAAGTTTTATTTTATTTTATATAGATAAATATTAGTGTTTTTTTATATTCCTTTTATAAATATAAGTATTTTATAAATGAATATAGATATTTATATGTTAAATAGAAATATATATAATTTAATAACATCTTTTTAAATATATTTAAAAAATTTCACATTATACATAACATTGTTACTCTGATTCCAGCAATTGGCGGGGATTGCTCGTCTGAGGGCAAAGCATATTACTTATCAAAATTAGAACATGTTTATTAATATATTTAAAAATAAATCAATGCCCTAAATAATATAGGGAATTTAGAATACCTTAAATAAATAGAACAGAAAGCGGCGGTAGAGAGAGAGAGAGCTGAACGGGGTAGAGAGAAAAGGTGGGATGGCGCACAGAGAAACAGCTGAATGGGGGAGAGAGAAACGGCTTGACGTCGATAGACCAATTAGAATTGGCCACATCACTCCCGCTTGATATAATGCTCGGTACCACTCGGTACTGTGCTCGGTACCGTGCTCGATATTGCTGACGTGACACATTCTGATTAGTCTCCGGATGATGAATTGAGTTTGAAGTCCACACATAATAATTTCTCGTGAGAGAGGAGTATTAATAAATTTTATTAAATAATGATTGTATTTTCTTGCAAAAATCCTGATTATTAGATAAAAATTATCTATTTTATTAAATCAAAATTGATGAATAATAATTTTAAATAGATAAAATATTAATTTAATTAAAATAATTATA